GCTTCATACAATGCCCGCGAAGATCAGATAATCTAGCAGGACTAAATAGCCAGGACAAATCAGAGCCAACCTTCCCAGTCAAAATACGGTAGGTTAGGCTTAGGTCCACTCTAACCCTTCGATAGTGCATTGAATGCATTCCCAAACTAAGTACGCGTTCGGGGTACGTTTGTCCTCGCAACCCCTCGACCAATCTAGTACCGACACGCAACACCCTTTCTAGTGCCATTTTGTCCCGGACAAGGCATGGTGGACAGGCCTGGACGCAATATTCTAGGTGGAATCGCACAAACGCTGAGAAGAGCTTCTCGAAAGAACGACGGACAACTCACAGCATCTGGAACCCTTTACTAGCCACCTTCTTCCAGTTGTCTCCAGAGTGTAGTGTGGAACAGTGGACGACACCTAGATTAACCTGATGAGTCACGTGAGGAAGTTCACTCACATCGAGCACATAACTTCTGGAGGAATCAGACGCTTCGATACGCAGCACTGAACACTTCGCCCGGTTTATGGGCAGCAACCACAAGACCATTCCCAGTCTATCCAGAGCCCGTTGAAGAGCCACAGGACCTCCAGGGATATTAACGATATTCCAGAGCTCTAGGTCATCAGCAAACAAGAGCGATGGTACCTCAAGCTCCCTCGGCAAGTCATTCACGTAGACTGAGAACAGCAGCGGCCCTAGGACAGAGCCTTGCGGAACGCCGCTAAAGACAGCTTGTCGAAACGAAAGACTGCTTCCCACACGAACACACTGTTCCCGTCCATGCAGAAAAGCTGACACCCACTGGAGAGCGCGATCAGATATTCCATACGACCACAACTTCAACGAGAGTCGCGAATAGAGGACAGTGTCAAAGGACTTGGCGAAGAAAATGAACACCACATTCACCGCCTGTCCACTGTCTACGGCTTCAGCACAGCTCTCACGAACTACCAGCAAGTTCGTTTGACACGAAAATCCTTTGCGAAAACCATGTTGCTCGACGCTAGGCAGGTTAAACATATTTAAATGGTTCTCCACTATATCTCGTACTAAGTTTTCAAGTAACTTAACGACCACGCTAGTCAAGCTGACAGGCCTGTAATTAGCCGGTAGGTCTGTCACGGTACTGGAAAATCGGGCAGAAAGCCTCCTTCCATTCGGTAGGTAAGACAGCTGTTGAGTGACTTCTGAAACACACAAGTCAGAGGTCCACTGAGTTCCACAGCCAATTCGTGCAACAATTTTGGATGAACAGAATCTGGCCCGTAAGCCTTAGTTGGGTTTACCTCTCTTAGTAACCAGAGAACTTGGGACTCAGTTACAGGAATTTCATCCAGACCACAGTCCTCAGGGACTCTTGAAGCTAACTATTTGCATGGCGTATTTGTTTCGCGGACAATGACGCTTGAGTACTGCTCACCAAGCGCGCATGCCTTGTCATAGTCGCTATAAGCATGAGTATCATCTCCTCGAAGCAATTGTGGTATGGGTGAGTTTGCACCACAACGCCGTTTAACGTAAGAGAAAATTGCTTGGGATTTTTCGAGGCAGTATCAGCTAAGCCCTTTTCATATTGAAGCCGGGCCAACCTAAGATGTAGCTTGCATTCATTTCGAACCAACCGATACTTGTCAAACGTGCTGTTCGAAGGAGCTGTTCGATACGCTCGCCAGCAACTATACCGCTTCTTTAGCAGGCTCTTACCCGCGGAATCTATCCACGGAGGCTGCGCGCTCGATTCCCTTCTTTCTACCAGTGGGACGTGAGATGCAGAAATGTCGACAAGGTGAGCCCAGGTTATGTGAACAGTGTCGGTCTCAGATATCACACAAGGTGATGACCTAGCTTTATCCCGCATCGCTTGGAAGTCCGCGGCCCAAATGTTCGGATACCAACTGGTAATAGCTTGGCAGGGCCTGATAAGGGTACATTGGAAAGGCAAGCAAACGTAATTGCTGGCACCAAGAGACGAGTCGTAAGTAATGTCATTTAAAATTCAAGTGAATCAGCAAAAACAAGAGCTAAAGTGGACAGCTGCTGATTTCTGGTGAGGTCCACGAATTGGTGTAGTGATACCTGCAGCGTTAAGTCCAGCAGTTCTGTACGCAACGACCCCACCGTCGAACCGCAAGATAGATCATCCCAACAAACCTCTGGAAGGTTGAAGTTTCCCACCACCAGACACTTGTTCGCAGAGTGAGTGCGTATATACTCATTGGTCCCATTGGAAGTGCTCATAGGGCTTCTATACACTAACACGACCGTAAGTTGAACCGAGGAAGCGCCGATCAAGACTGCGAGAGCCTCAACAGATTTGTTGAGAGAGTGAAAAATGCTGGTCCTCAATATGTCGATGTGAAAACTCCCATCAAGAGCTACACCACCCCCTTAACGGCCAATGGAGCGGTCAGCGTGGGACAATGCGTAGACAGGCAGATATACTTCGCCATCTGTGATTTCCTCAGACAGCCACGGTTCAATAAAAGCAAGTATATCTGGACGAGGTTTGTCTACGAGCAGACCCACCTCGCACATCTTATTCCTCAGGCTACGCACGTTACTAACTACTACTCGGAGGGCTTCGGCACGACCAGCCCTGGGTCGTGCGTAAGTAGAATAGGTTCTGGCAGGGTGGAAAAGGACCGCCGGCTGACCACCCGAAAACCCACCACTCGGAGAACTTGTTCGCCAGCTGCACGCCGGGCTTTTAGGTCTCTGATGGTTTTCTTTAACTTTAACCTATTCGCTAACGGGTTTGGTTGCACACTAACGTTGCTGCCTTTGAGCTTGAAGGCAAATCGCAGTAAGGCCCTGCGCTCTTCTGGGGTAGAAAAAACCACCCTAAGCAGACGGGGTCGAGGATTTGGTTGACCAAGCAGAACGTTCCCCAACCTGATGAGCTTACTGACAGTAACGCCATGCTCGGTGGGAAGTGGCAGTGGATTCAGTGAGGTTTCTGAAAATCACACGGCTATCGGTGTAAGAATCGCACCGACGAGGTGCAGTTACTCCACAAACTCTACCATACACGCCACATGGTTGTTTGACAGGAATCGGTGGGACCGAAGGCGAGGACAACTCATGTCTCACTGAGGGAATTGCAGCACCAGGTGGTGTTTCCAGCTCAGGCGCTTGCCCCATGAGCCTTTTATCACCTCTCGGTTTGGGGGAGGAGGGATTGCGCACTTTCCTTGCCCTCTTACGCTTATTCTTTAATGGCCCAGGAGCCCGTGACTCGCCTTGCATTTGGGGCGGTCCGAGACATCTGTGTCAGTTATCTCCATGTGAACTGGAGCGTCCGGTAGGATGAACGCTTCGTCAACGGATGGACTGTCAGCAGTAGGACAGTCCGTTATAGCGTCCAGATTCGCAATATTCGGGGATTTCATAATCAAATCCACTTTAGAGTTGAGTGAGGCAAGACAGGCAAGCTCAGCTGACGCCTTCTTAATAACTGTGAACCTGGATGTCAGTGCTTTGAATTCAGCATAGGTGAAAGCCGGGAGCTTCGCTTTCTGAGCGCAACCATCAGCACATCTAAACAGGTTTGCACTAGATGATAGCGTATTGTACTGATTCGTTCATTGGAACATTGAATTTAATGGGAATAAAAGCTCGAGCTTTACATGACCCATAAGGTGAAAGTTCGGGTCGGGTCTAATGAAAGGCTAAGCAATCTTATAGCGGGTTGGATTCGCGTGTTAGTCGTATCTTCATCGGGCTTATGCGGCATTTAAACATAATGCACGCCGGCTCAAAGCGTGAAATCCAACAAGGCCCTCCGAAACGGCTATGGGAAGGAAGTAGGTAGAAAAAAATGAAACTCCATAAAGTAGAAGGTAGTTATACTATACTATACTATACTGTCATGATAGCGAGAAAGATGTTGAACATCTATGTAGCTATATCTCAATGTAGGACATGTCCCACTGACACAGTGTTACCTGTAGTAGTGAGCTAGCCCAGGTGAAAAAAGTAAAATATTTACAAGCATAGAAAAAAAACTCCATGTACTTACCATATATTCTTGGATGAACCACATGGAGTCCTTCACCAGCTCCGCCGCCTATTACGGATGGGCATCGTTTCGGAAGCTGCAGTTGGTGGATTAACGGGCTCCATGGGTTATAATCATTGAACGATTCCTTCGTCAGTTTCCTGTGAAGGCTTCGTCGAATCTGGCATCCGCAAAGTGCGCGTCCAGGAATCGTTTGAATTCCGACACCGAGTTCGCTTCTACTATCCGCGAGGGCAAACGGTTCCACATGTTCACCACTCGCCGCTCAAGACACAAGGGATGAGCTACCCACTTGAGGTCAGGGACTACCAGTTTGTACTGGTGACCTCGTGTGCTGCTTGACGCACGGACATGGAGCAGTGGCCTCAGCATCGGATAAGCACCCAGATGCAATACCCGATGGGTCATGATGAGGTCCACTCGCACGCGGCGGTAGGCTAGAGTATACAGACCCAATTGTCTGCATCTTTCTTCATACGGCACACCCTGAAGACCGGGAATGAGCCGTGTGGCTATGTGTTGTACTCTTTCGAGCTTGTGTATCTCGCCCTTCGTCAACGGACAGTAGGCGGGTGAGCCGTATTCTAGCACCGGTCGTACAATGGATGTGAAGAGACGAGTGACAATCTCTTTCGACCAGGTGCAGAAGCTACGTTTCAGCGCCCACAGCGAACGCAATGCTGTGCGATACATATTGTCCGTGTTGTCCAGTGACTTCATGTCGTAACGTTGTATAACGCCAAGGTCTCTGACGCAATGCGTCGGGTGTAGAACTTGGCCGTCGAGAGTGTACGATCGGCCCGCTCCACCTTTACCGAGGCACAGAAGTAGCGATTTTGCCGAGTTGATAGGCAAACTTATTTCGGCGAACCACATGGAGAGGCGGTCGAGGTCCTGCTGAAGTATGTCAAAGTCGTCCGACGTATGGATCACCCTTCATAGCTTCAGGTCATCCGCGAACAAGGCACACGGCGACCGAAGGAGATTGGGCACGTCATCATCATCATCATCATCAACAGCAGTACATCAGCCATTTGAACTGATGCTTCGCTGCCATACAACCATGAGGACCTATGAAATAAAGAATAAGAAGAGGGAGAGAAGGGGGACTTACCTGAAAACCTTAATGCCCTAAGCAAACATTCAGGGTCAAGGCGCCTACACCTTGTGTTAACAACATTCCGTCACAAACAGCTGGCTATCGTGCAAAGATAAGGCGGCATCGGCGAGACAGCTTCCTTGCGGCTTTCACTGCCACGCGTCATAATCAGCCATTACCCCGCAGATAACTCAGCACCAAACACACTTTAAACAGACAATCCAATTAGGAGACGGCAGCAGACGCGCCACTGGTGTCGGTTGCGAGCCATGTCCTGTAAAGTCTCGAGCCAAGCACAAGGTGAGTCACGTGGGCTCCAACCCGGAAGGCGAGACGGACCAACGGCACCCAGTTTGGTCGTCAGTGACTTCATTTCCCGCTGCCAAGTCAACTTCTGTCCACCTCGAGCCTTGCGCCATCCGACACCTGGTAGACTGAACAAGGCCCTCCTAGGTAAGCGGTGACCAGGCATGCGTAGCACGTGCCCGAGCCAACGTAACTTATTCAGTGCTATCTGTTGTTCTAGCGAGCTAGCATGATCATCACCACCTAGTACTCGCCTACGCACATCATCGTTGCGGACACGCTGGTGCCATCCGACACCAGCAATGCTTCGCAAACAACGATGATCAAAGACTTGAAGGCGCCTCAGATCTTCAGACCGAAGGGGCCAAGTCTCACTACCATAAAGCAGAACGGCCCTCACTGTGGCCTTGTATACACGGCCTTTCAGACGGAGGGAAACTCCCTTCTGTCGCCAAAGATGACGCAGGTTCAAGAAGGCAGCTCTGGCCTTTGCAATGCGTGAGCTCACGTCAGTTTCTATGCGCCCATCATTGCTGATGCAGCTGCCAAGATAATTGAATTGATCAACCATCTCGAGTTCCTCGTTAGCAAGCGTCAAGGGGTCATCGAGTGGCTGGTGGTCCTGCAGCAACACTTTGCACTTTGAAGGTGCGAAGTGCATACCAAATAATGGGACCACTCTGGATAGACTATTCAGGGTTGATTGTGCCGCCTCAACATTGTCGAAAAGCAAGACGATATCGTCCGCATAATCTAGATCAACTAACCGTTCACCAGGCAGCACTTCAACACCTACATCGTGAGATTCCGCAAGGGAACACTCCATGATAGAATCCACGACGAAATTGAACAAAAATGGGGAAATCGGACAACCCTGTCGAACGCCACTTGTAGTCGAAAAGCTATCCGATAGGGCACCATAGACCCTGACGCGGCCTCTAGTGTTCGAGTATAGAGCACGAAGGATGTTCACATATTTCGTGGGAACACCTTTTCGCGCAAGTATTTCGAACAGAATCGATCGATCGACTGAATCGAACGCACTCTTGAAATCGAGGAACACAGCTATTGTCGGTCTGCGGTATGCGTGGCGCTGCTCTAGCACCTGCCGCAAAGTAAATATATGGTCTATACAGCCACGTCCTGGGCGAAAACCGGCCTGCTCTTCTCTAATCCGAGATTCCCGTTCTGCAGTGAGACGACGAACGATAATCGAGGCCAGTAATTTTGTCACAACTGGCGTTAGGCTAATACCCCTGTGGTTCGCACAGTCTGTGCGACTGCCCTTTTTGTATATTGCCACTATAATCGATTCGCTCCAATTAGCCGGCACACTCTCTTCGTTCCAGATACGTTCGAATAGGGAGGTCAGTGCTTTGCAGAGGACCTCACCTCCATCCTTAAATAGTGCAGGTGGTAGGGAATCCGGGCCAGCGGCACGAAAACGATTGAGGGCTGTGATCGCGTTTCGGACCTCGGCCTCCGACGGAGGCTCTAAACTAACCGTCCATGGCTCGTCCTGCATCACCTGAGTAGGAAGAGGTCCGGGAGCAGGGGGCCAGCTGAACTGATGTTCAAAGTGCTCAGCCCAACGAGCCATACGGCGCTCATTATTGTGTATCAGCGCACCCGCGCTGTCCCTGATTGTCTCACTGACGCCTGGTTTCCTCGGACCAGTGGTGCGGATTAGCTGGAAGAGCTTCCGGTAATTGCCTACTGCTCCTGCCTCCTCCATTTCTTGAGCCCGACTGGTCCACCAGGCTTCCTTGTCAGCACGTAGGCTCCGCTTTAGTTCACGCCTAATAGCCCGTCTGGTCACATTGTGTTCAGAACCAGCCGGGAGGTGCCTTCTAGCTTCCAAAAGGTTCACGGACCTCTCGGATATCCAGTGACTGGTGCGATGACGACTGATAGTGCCACAAGCAGATGCTCCTGCGTCGTGCATAGCGGCCGAGATCCTATTCCACTGAAGTTCAGTGTCATTAGGACAAGACAGCGAGAGTTCGCTATGCAGTGCTTCTTGATAGGCTTGCCTGACAGAGGGCTGGGACAATTTCTCCGTTGCCAATCGGGGGAGACGCTTTGTGCGCCTTCCGGTAAAGTTCATGGAGAAACGACAGCGCACCAAGGCATGGTCAGAGTCGACACAGGTACTCCAGTATGAGCGGCAATCCAGAATGGAACCGCGCCACCTGTAACTTATGGCTATGTGGTCAATTTGGGTCCATCGCTGACCAGCTACAGGTGGACGCCAAGTGGCACTTCGGCGCCCACTGTGTCTAAAAGCAGTGCTAGTAAGAAACAACTGGTGCTCCGCACACAGTTGCAGCAGACGCTCGCCGTTGTCAGTCCGTTCGGCGTTAAGTCCATACTTACCACCCAGCTGAGCTTCTGAAGAGCTCAGACGCCCTACTTGTGCGTTCATATCCCCTGCAAGTACTACAATATCTGAACTAGTAGCACTGCGTAGCAGCGTGTTCAGTTCGTGATAGAAAGTGTCCTTGACTGCATTAGAACTGCAGTCCGTGGGAGCATAAGCAGAAATCACAAACAAACAGCGTTTTGTTTTACTTCGCGAATTCACCTTAGCTGATGTAGTCAAACGGGCTGCACATAAACGGCTGTTCACCGGAATCCAATCAACCAACGATGACTCAGCCTTGGAGCTGAGAATGATACCTACACCAGCTTGACCCGTGAGTGCCGCATCGGCGTCTCCGGATGCGTGCAACCAATAACGAGAGGATAAGCCGGGTGCAGTCAATTCAATAACCCCGTTAGGGTCATTAATCCTAGTTTCGGACACACAACACACATCAACACCCAGTGTGTCTAAGGTGCGTGCGAGTGCAGCCTGCTGACCTGTTTGTCTTAGAGTGCGGACGTTGAATGTCGCCATGGTAATGGGACAGCGTGGCCTTATAAGGAACTTTTGCCGATAGGCGTCCGATAGGTGCTGTGGGATGGTGGCTGCAGATGGTTCTACTCCAGTAGCACGTCGGTTGCTGTCAATTAAGCTGGGAATTATAGAAGGAAGGTTAGTAATGGGGGCCGGGATGGGAGTAAGAGAAAAAGGTGGAAAAGAAAGAAGGGAGGCGCCAGCAGTAGCATGCTTTCGCTTATCCGCCCTGCTGTATGCAGCAGATAAGGCGACCCTTGATAATCTGCGCGACGGCCGATGCAGGATGAAATTTATGTTTGAAGAAAATGTCATGGTTGTATGTGGGCTGGGATACTGCCAGGGCGCCCAGACCTAGACAGGAGAACGATTAGGGTCCTCATCCAAAGCCTTTGGCTCAAAAGCCTGTCCGCAAGGCAGCGGGGAGGTGGCAATGATTTAGTTTTACAGAAATGGACGCCATCCCATTTCAAACCCCCAACCTGGAGGACCAGGAGACTGAGTTTGTCTGACCTCTCACCATTGACCAACCTGGTAGGAGTAGCTCTCAAGATGCTCGGAGGCATCACCCAGTATAGCTCAATGGGTCAATGAGGTACGCAAACCGTCGCACCACGTTAAGGTCCAGTCTCGTTGCGACGGGCACGTCGTTGATGTGAATCAGGAAGAGAATGGGGCCAAGCACCGTCCGCTGAGGAACGCCGCTCGTCGACGGGTACCAGTCGGTCAGGTGGCTGTCGACTTGCACCCTCCACTTCCGTCCAACTAAGAAGTCACGGATCCATTGGTGCAGCGAGCCTCCGACTCCGCACTCCCTCAGTTTCTGAAGGAGGATCTCGTGATTCACTCTGTCGAAGGCCTTACTGAAATCGACGTATACCACGTCGACTGACTTACGTTGGTTTACTGCTTGCAACCATTCATGCCATGTTAGCAGCAGGTTAGTGATGCACGAGCGGCCTCTCACGAAACCATGCTGTGCAGGCGTCAGGAGAGAGTTGGTCTCCAGTAGCTGGAGCAGTCTCTTCTTCACAATCTTCTCCAGAACTTTCGAAAATACTGCGGTCAAACAAATAGGGCGGTAATTCTCCACTTTGCGTGTGTCACCGCCTTTGGGAATCGGTTTGACAACGGCGCATTTCCAGTCACAAGGCACGCAGCCTATGGACAGGGATCGGTTGAACAGGTCGGTTACAGCAGGTGAGATCACAGCTGACAAGGACTTGAGGATCAGCGGATGGAGACCATCCGGTCCAGCTGGCTTCGTGCTGTCTAGGCAGCTGACTAGCCCATGTACCTCCGCGACGTCGCAGATCAAGTCGGTTAGCTCATTCGGTGCGGCGACGGCAGAGCTTGGCGCGCAGGTTTGGTTAGTTGCGAATACAGAAGCGAAGTGCGCCGCTAATGCGGACGCACGCTCGGTGCTTGAACTTAGTGGTTGTCCGTCCGAACCCACTAGCACCGGCACATCACCTGCAGGCTTCAGGCGTCGCTTCACGTACGCAAATATGCGCTTCGGGGCAGTTTTAGCTGAGCAAGCAAGCTGCTCCTCAAACTGACGGCGTTTTTGCGTCTTTGTGCTGTTGCACAAGTTTCGTTGTCGCTTGTATGCCTCATAGTCATCGGCAGAGCCAGACAGGAGGAACGCATTCCATAGTCGACGCCGTTGTCGAGACAGTCGGTTATACTCTTTGTCAAACCAATGGGGTTTCATTGGTCCAACTTTCCGAGTCTTGAAGGGTACAAATTGCGCACACAATGAGTGCACTGCCCCTTTAATGTTTGCCCAGCAAGTTTCAACGGATGAATCCTGTGGCATAGACCAATCAACCTGATTGGCAGTTAGAATGAGGCCACCGAAGTCAGCTTTCCAATAGTTGTATGTTGGCGCCACTGGACGCACACATGGAAGCTGCAGGTCTATAGTGGCCATAATTGTCGAGTGATCACTGGCCGCCATGGGCTCAAGAACTTCTATGTCATGCACTGTTTGTTCGCAGCTGGTTAGCAGCAGGTCCAGGCATGATGGCATTGAGCGCGGGGTTATGCGGGTGGGTTGCGTGATGTGCTGCACCGTTCCGGTTTCCAGTACCAGTTCGGCGAATCTTGTCTCCACTTCATTATGGCCAGGGAGAAGCTGAACTTCAGGCCATAAGATTCGAGGAAGGTTAAAGTCGCCCGTGAGCAGGAACTACGGGCGACTCATTTGGTTTTGGACGTGTGTGAGCCAATCCAATCCGTTACTCAGTGGGCTACGATATGCCACACCCACAAGCAGTTCGCCGCGTCGTAGGTGGATCGAACACCACAGCTGCTCACATAGACCGTCAGGGAATATCGCAGTGTAGCTCGGCCAGATGACATGTAGTGACCTGGAGATTCCCCCGTATGACTAACGTTCTCTAGTCGGTTGGTAAGTGCCGCTACTTGCGCTCTTAGTTCTGTTACCTCCGTACTGGAAGTAGACTGAACCTAAGATAATTGGGCGTTGGATTCCCAAATACGGTCGGAAATGTCAGCGAGCTGAGAAAGAGGCGTATCTTTTGTATACAGGGGGGTAAAGCATGTCAGGTGGAAGGCGACGAAGCAACATCTCTTTAAGGAAAGAGTCGCCAACAGAGAGAGGCTTAGCTAGAGCCTGCATGCACTTGTGCAGCAACTGAGAATGCTTTCGATCACCTAGCTCGGTTTCGTTAAGAGGCTGCGTAACGCGAGCATGGTCTGATATGCCGAATCGCTTTAAGACAACAGCCTTAAGCTTAACGTAACTTTTCTGACATTCGGGAAGCTCCAAGATGTCGTCGAGGTCATCGACGACTTGTGGAGGAAGCATGCAAAAACGCAGTTAAATTTGACACTGTCAGACTTAACACCATGTAACGAAAAAAAGGATTCTGGCTAATTAAAGCAGGCCTAAGGATTAGTCTCCCGGAAACACGTGTTAGGGAAAGTAGAGTGGCTAATTTTGGACATGCAAAATCGGCATGGAGGGACTTTGTTTTGCGGTACACCAGGCTAAATAGTGATGCTTTCATAACTGGATTTGAAAGAGATGTGTATAGGTAGCTCTGTGCTAAAGTATGTACAAAAAAGGTAGTTGGTAAGATATATTAGTTGTAAATTTCGATTTCATTCATCGCGATTGTAAAAAACAAAAAATACAATAATCAGACAAGAGATATGTATACCCCTTATCCAAGCAAGTAACTTACTGCAAGCATAAATTTACATACATGAAACAATTGTATTAACACTTATGTGCTCCATTAAACAGCCGTTTACACCACACTTGTATTTAGCATTTGCCTACTTTCCATTATGCCGTGAACTTCAACCACGCCTGTAGTCAGCACTTTAATTTATCATTACCGCTTTCACGAAGCAAATCCATATAGCATTATTTTCTAGTTCCCCGCACCTTAATACCACCAAAAGTAAGCATATACTATGCAGTCACTCAAACTAACTTGGCTGTTACCGAGGACAACGGTTGCGAAACCCTTTCTCGCCATGACAAAAATTAGTCCCTCCCGGGAAAGTAAATCCACCGGAACGTCCTATCCGCCACCTGGAAATAATGGCTGCCCGGTAGTCCCAGACTCAGCACGGTACTTTAAAGATGGTGACGTTTGTGGATTAGTCAGACGGGAGTGAAACAATTTATTTTTAGACTCTGACATTGTAATCTGGTGTGACCTTAAAACTGTGTTTTAGTGTGTTAAAATGCTGTTTGTTGAGTCTATTTAAACAGATACTTTGACCCTTGGTCTTTCCGACTGCTCCATTAGTCGTTGCAAAACTGGTCACTGTAAACAGGTTCACAATTGTTGCTTATCTATAAAATTTATTTGATTTTCTACGTCTTAGGTCGAGATGGTTGGGCGTGCCGTCCTAACTTTTCGGGTCCTCCTCCGGACGACTGGTTTGTTATGTATGGCAAAGCTGGGTGCCTCCAAGAAATTACAGACTTGACCGAGGACCTTCAATGCGGTATCTGTCGCCGTTGGTTCCATGCGGACAGTGCTGGTTTGCATCTGCAATAGTATGCACTTTTGGCTATTAGCAGGAGTATACCGCATAGTTGTGTTAACCTTTGAGTGCGTCGCACTAAGCCTTTCACCCCAATAACTAGCACTGGGATGCAGTTGGAAAGCCTGGCTTCTGCTGTGTTCGCTGGACAGGAAACTTGATTGCTTTGTTAGGCATCTGGGCTGCTTCGGCCTCCGTCAGGAGGCGGTGGTAGCTACAATATGCCGGACCCGGCATCTGTTTGCTCACAGTCTACTGTCAGTACATAATATAGGAAAAACACTGTTGTCAACGGACCCGCAGCTTCTTTGTGCGCTTCTTCTGTTAGCCAGGGAGTCAATCGGGCTACTTCACTTGTCACAGGAAAGAGAAAGAGGGTTAAAAAGTGGCGAAACCCAAGACAGCTGTCGGAGGTCCGTCGGGTGCCGTATCCACAGTACCCTTTATTTTTACTGCAGCTGTGTCACCCACGGTTGATTCGTTTACGACGTTGGAGTCTAAAATTTCGGCCGCTAATCCAAAACCGCCAGCGTCAACAGAGCGTTTGTTAAGTACTCCGCGTTGCTGAAACTCGTATACTAGTTGCAGTGTTATTTACAGTACTGCCAAGAAGTCATATGCTAGATGTTCTTCATTTGTTAAGGTATGCGTTAACAAACGTTACTGCTAGGATTTCTTGGCCTCACTTTGTGAAAACTCACCAGACTTGGTAGCTTTTCGACTGAGAAGGCTGTTGCGTGTTGCGCGGTCCGCTCCAGCGGTATGCCATGCTCTTTTAAGTTTTGCCTTTACTCTTAGAGGCACTGCGGTCATGTTGCACTTAGACCTCGCTTTAACGGAGACGATGAACTTCCGGATGACTGCGCGATATTGAAGTCCGTCGCAAAGCAAGATAAAAGACCTCTTAGTGGGTTTTCGAGTGATGAGCCGGCGGTGCAATTCCTCCCTGTCAGAACCGGTTGCGATGGTGCACGATCCCGGGCTCACGATGCCAGATACATGCAGGAATATGTTACGGAAGGATTGGACAAGTACATGCGGAGCATCCATGGACTCCGATGCGTTTGCTGCAGCTGTAACACTCCCTAGCGGTACACCCTTCAGCAACGACGTATCATCCAGCCAATGAACAGAGGTGATAAAGCGGACAAGATTTTCCTTTCTACTCCTTAAAGGTCCATGAAATCCATCGATACCTGCTGCTTATCAGAGACCCGCCTGCAAGCCTCGAGCTCTGTGCTCACTGTGCTATCCATTTCAAGTGACGCCGGCGGCACTTTCTCATTGCGCCTGTCCGGTGACGGTACAGCTTCGAGCACCGGTCAAGCCTGTGTTGGTATTGTCCTGAATCCCTGGCTGATGATGCTCTGGTTGACGGGAGTCCGAGAAGTATCTGGTTGTGTGCGGTCCTATTTGCTGGCTCGTTCGAAGCTGCGTAGTCGCGCATGACTAACTGGTGTCTATTCGTTATCGCGGCCTTTGCACCTACCTACGCACCCGTCAACTGGCGAACTCAACTGTGCTGAATGCATATAAAAGTATGCTGTCCTGCGATTGGGATTAACGCTCACTGGATGCAATTGAAACTCACTGGATTCATATTCACTGGACTTTA